TGGGGTGAGATTCCACCTCCAGAGAGCCACAGGTACCCGACTCCAACCTATGAGAACTGGGGCAGAGCCACCCATTATTCCAGAATGCAGAACCCTGCCTCAGTGTGCCTTAATGTTTTGGACTTGCTATGAACCTATTACTCCTTTTTTTCTATTTCTCCCTTTTGGACTGGGAGTGTTCATCCTATGCCTGTCCCATCACTGTATTTTGGAAGCACATTGACTTCCCCAGGTTCACAACTGGAGACCCATTGCCTTAGGATGAATCTGCCTTGAGCCTCACCCATATCTGATTTTTTTTTTAGAAGATTTTATTTATTTATTTGACAGAGAGAGACACAGCAAGAGAGGGAACACAAGCAGGGGGAGTGGAAGAGGGAGAAGCAAGCTTCCCGCCAAGAAGGGAGCCCGATGCGGGGCTCGGTCCCAGGACTGTGGGATCATGACCTGAGCCCTGAAAGCAGACGCTTAACGACTGAGCCACCCAGGCACCCCTCACCCATATCTGATTTAGAGGAGACTTTGGAGACTCTGAAGTTGACACTGGAACAGGTTAAGACTTTGGGGGCCTTTCGGATGGAATCAATGTATTTTGCATATGAGGACATGAATTTTGGGGTCAGAGGCATAATGTTATGGTGTGAATGTTTGTGTCCCTCCAAAATTCATATACTGAAATCCTCCCAAAGGTGAAGCCCCCATGAATGGTATTAGTGCCTTTATAAAAGGGGCTCCAGGCTCCAGAGAGATCCCTCGCTCCTTCCACCACATGAGAACACAGCAAGGAGCTAGCAACGAATCAGGAAAAGGGCCCTCACCAGAAGGTGACCGTGCTAGTGCCTTGCTTTTGGACTTTGCAGCCTCCAGAGCTATATGGGTAATAAATTTCTGTTGTTTATTAGTTACCCAGTCTGGTATTTTATCACAGCCCAAATGAACTAAGACAGAAGGACATCTTGTGTTCACGGACTGGAGGATTTAATAGCAAGATAACAATACTACCCAAAGCAATCAGAACAAGTTGCAGTACAGTACGCACATTTCCAGACTTCTAAACTTACTACAAAGCGACAGTAATCAAAACGGTATAGTACCGGCATAAGGACAGACATGGAGATGAATGGAACAGAATAGACAACCCAGAAATAAACTCTTACATATATGGACAATTGATTTTCAACAAGAGTGCCAAGACCATTCATTCAATGGGGAAAGGACAGTCTTTTTGACAAATGTTGCTGGGGAAAAGATATCCACATGCAAAAGAATAAAGTTGGGCCCTTATCTTACACAGTATACAAAATTAACTCAAAATGGATCAAAGACTTAAACCCAAGAGCTAAAAGTATAAAACTCATAAAATAAAACATAGGAGAAAATCTTTATGACATTGATTTGGCAATGATTTCTTACATATAACACCAAAAGCACAGGCAGAAAAAAAAAAAAACTGAATGATCAAAATTTAAAAATTTGTGCATCAAAGGACTCTAGTGAAAAGACAACCCACAGAACAAGATGAAATATTTGTAAATCCATAGATCTATTACAGAATTAATATCTAAAGAACTCCTATAACTCAACAACACAATAAGCAACCCAATTTAAAAATGGGCAAAGGACTTAGACATTTCTCCAAAGAAATTCTACAAATGGCCAGGAAGCATGTTTAACATTACTAATCATGAGGGAAATGCAAATCAAAATCACAATGAAATAGGTATCACTATACACCCATAAGGATGACTATTATCAAAAAAATCAGAACATAAAAGGTGTTGATGAGCATGTGGAAAAATTGGAACCCTGATACAGTCATTGCTGGTGGGAATGTAAAATGGTGCAGCTGCTGTGGAAAGCAGTTTGGCATTTCCTCAAAAAGATACATAAACATAGAATTATATGATCCAGCAATTCTACTTCTAGGTTTGTACCAAAAAAAAAAAAAAAAAATCTGAAAATAGGGACTCAAACAGGTACTTGTATACCAATATTCTTGGTAGCATTATTTAAAACAGCCAGAAGGTGGAAACAAACCAAGTGTTTACCAACAGATGAATGTGGAAACAAAATGTAGTATATACATAATTTGGACTTTTATTCCACCATAAAAAGGAATGAAATTCTGATACATGCTACAACATGGATGAACACTGAAAACATGTTAAGTGAAAGAAGCCCGATACAAAGGACAAATACTGTATAATTCCATTTACACGTGGTACCTAGAATAGGCAAATTCAGAAACAGAAAGCAGAATAGAGATTACTAGGGGCTGAAATTGAGAGTTTTGATTAATTTACACTTCCTAGAATTTTACATAAATGAAAACATAAAATATGTATTTTTTGGTCCAACTTTTTTCACTTAGGTTATATTGAGATTCATGTATCAACAGTTTATTCTGCTTCACTGCATATGCCATGTATCATGTTTATATATTCACCTTTTGATGGACATTTGGGTTGTTCCCAGTTCTTGGCTAATACAAGCTATGAATATTTGTGTGCAAGTCTTCGTATAGACACATGCTTTCATTTCTTTTTTTTTGTAACGATTTTATTTATTTGACAGAGACACAGCGAGAGAGGGAACACAAGCAGGGGGAGTGGGAAAGGGAGAAGCAGGCTTCCCGCCGAGCAGGAGCCCAGTGCGGGGCTCGATCCCAGGACCCTGGGATCATGACCTGAGCTGAAGGCAGATGTTTAACGACTGAGCCACCCAGGCGCCCCACATGCTTTCATTTCTTGTGGGTAAATACTTAAGCATGTATAGCTATGTTATTTAAGTGTATGTTTAACTTTCTAAAAAACTGCCAAACTGTTTTTTCACAATCTCATACTAGCTGTGTATGAGAGTTCCAGTTGCTCATCTTCACCTACACTTGATAAGGTCAGTCTTTTAAAATTTGTCTTTCTAAATATGTGCATAGTGGTGTTTTGCTGTGGTTTTAATTTGCATTTCTCTAGTGACTAATGATGTCAAACGTTTTTCATGTCTTTTTTGCCATTTGTATATCTTCTTTAGTGAAGTGTCTGGTCAAATTTTCTACCTTTTCATTGGATTGTTTTCCTGTCAAGTATGAGAGTTCTTCATATATTCTGAATACTGGCCCTTTATGAAGCATGAAATTTGCAAGTATTTTCTGTCTGTGGCTTGTTTTTCATTCAGTTCCTTGCAGTCTGTTTTACTGAGGACATTAGTTCCTCACTTGCTGGAGCCTGCTGTCAGCTCCTTACTACGTGGGCCTCTCCACAGGCAGCTCACAACATAGCAGATTGCTGCACTGAGGCAAATGAGTCAGACAGATTGACAAAACAAGTGTTTTTCATAACACAATCTTCAAAGTGACATCTTATTGTTTTTGCTGTATTCTATTCCTTAGAAGCAAGTTATCAGGTCCACCCTACACTGAGAGGAAAAGGACTGTACAAAGGCATGAAATCCAGGAGGCAGGGATCAGGAACCATTTTAGAAGCTGCATTCACAAGATATGCAGATGATTATCATAAATACTATCTTCATTTTCAGTACTTGAGGTTCTTCTTGTTTTATCTTTCTGGAATTGCTACCAGATGTTGTTATGTATACTATTATCCTCAATCTTTTCTATTTCTTTGCTTTCTAGGGAAAGAGCTCCTCATTTTAATGTTCTCATTAATCAGTGGAATGTAGTCTACCATTGATCGCATGTGTTCTTTATTTCAACTATTATATTTTTCACACTTAATAGTTATATTTATTTTATGATTCTTGTTCCATATTGCTAATATCTTCTCTAAAATTTTTGGTCTTTTCAAGTATTTCTGCTTCAGATGATATTCACTTTTTCTTTTGAGACAGTTTCAGCCAACTATTCTGGCTTGTGGGTCCAAATTCTCCTGGGGGTATGTGTTACAAGTCTGGGAAGGTATACTAGGCAAGGGTCAAAGACCAGAATGTCAAGTGTTTTAGGAAGGGAGGGGACAACAGTGGGACAGAGTTGCAGGAACCACAAAACCACATGTAATTGCTCCCATTCAGTCACATCCCACTAAACCACACTGTTTTTTTAGAAAGACTTACCTTTAAACTAATCTGGGAAGCAGAAGCTCTTGCAGGAGGCAGCGACCTAGATTACAGACCACTAACTGAAGTTTTTAAAGGGAAGGGTTAAGAGAGTGAGTGAAAGGTCTAAGGCAGGCAGGTCATTCCCCCCCTATTTCATCAACTCCTCATTTATCAGGGATTTTACACGGCCCTGATATTTTACCCCTGTGGACACTATACCAGTAGTCTGACCTGTGGCCTCCCTTTCTGTAAGGGCAACAGCTATCATTTGTGCCAAGGCAAGAGTTGGCCCTTTACAGTAAATATTTCTGGCTTTTGGGGCAATAAGGTCTGTCACAACTACTCAACTCCACCTTTGTAGTGAGTTCCAATAAAACCTAACTTAAAAACAAGAAGCAGGATGGATTTCGTGGGAGGGCAGTAGTCTGCTGTCCCTGTCTCTAGGACAAAGTGGGTTAGGAGGAGGCAAAAGCAGAACATAAACCAAGTTTCTTATTATATTACTGCCTCCACCAGTGGCCCTGTCTTTCAAGTTGTAGCCACTCTCCCTCACTCTGAACAGTTGAAACCCCAGGGGTTTCTTATTATTGTTGTTTTGTTATTTTTCTGGATTTCAAGTTCCCTTTACAGTTCTAAGGAGGAAGTAGGAAACTCATGCTAATTTACTACCTTGGCAGGAATAGAAAACCAAGTCAGTAATTGTTTTCGTTTGTGTTTTATTTATATATTTTTGGCAGCAAAATTGTTTATTAAAAAAAAATCTGGACTATGAACACACTTCACTGCTTCAGTTGAAGAACCCCAAGCCAAATAAAAGGACCAATATTAAAAAGCAGCATAACTGGTTACTGTTTTATAGATACATAAAGAGTCAAACACTACAGTGTAGGAAGACAATCACCCCCATGTCAGAAATCACAACTTCTTCCAAATAAAGAATATGACCCATCTGCCATATTGAATTGATATTTATTTCAGGACATGCCATGTCAAAATGAAACAAAAGAGTCAACCCTCGCCTTTAACAATAATATCGTATTATATAAAAGCACTTTACAACTCCATCCCATCTTTGAGTATAAGTTAGTGGTATGTGGGCTAATGATTATCTGAAAGCATTTCTCTATTCAGACCCATAATCCAAGTGCTCTCTGAATATTACAAGGTGACAATAAGTGGGAATTGGAGAAGGAAGAGGAAAGAGAGGGGAATAAGGTTCTCCCAGTTAAGGGTTTTGTTGCAATGAGGGGATGAAGAAGTATGAATTATTTTTTGTTGTCTTTTCATCTTTATACTGTGTTAAGTAATGCTTACAACGTAAATTCAGCAGGCTTTTCCTGAGCTGTAACTCAGAAATTTTCTTCCTGCAAACAATGTATTTACAAATGTGTTTATTAACTTACACAGCAATCTCACAATAACTAGTAAAGATTAAAATGGTGCACTCCTAGTATATTTGTTTACCGTGTTTTAAGGGAAATATATATTGCCATGGTGATGAAGCTCTAAACAGACTGGACAAAACATCTAAAAATTGAAAGTAGTTTAAAAAAAAGAAGGCAAAGAAATAAATATCACCAAAGAAAAAAGATTAATTTTAGCTTCAATATAAAACTAAATCACTGGTTAATTACCAAACTATACAGACCTAATAAAAAGCAAAACCAACATTAAAAAAAAAAAGCTAAAAAATAAGGCATAAATCTGCATAATATTGAGTTTTATTTCCATTCTCTCCTTTCCCTCTTCTATGTATGCTTTTCCAGATCTGCCTCTAGGGGCTTATAAGAAACCTGTTTCTATTTTCAATTTGACCTCAAATGTCCTGAGCAAAGTATTTGCTATTCTGTTGAGGATTCTTTTGTTGGTAAACTTTAGATATCATTGTTTCTACTGGTTATTGTAGTTTTGATCAAGGTGCCAAGTTTAAATTCTTCCACTGGTTCTTCTTAAAGGAATTTGATTTCTATAGTGCCTTGCCTACATAGCATTTTTTGAAGAAAGAAAACCCAAGAGAAATCTATTGCTTACAAAAGTTTTCTTCTTTTTTTTTTTAAACAAAGAGAATAACTTTATCTTGACAATTTTAAATCCTGGCAGAAACAGTTCAGAGAAGAATTCAGTATTAAAAACATGTTCTGAAGCACTGTTACCCTTCTCTCCCAGAGACTAACATGTGAAAGGGTCATCTATTTGGTCTGAAACACATTTTATGTTCACTTAACTTACTAAGTACTCAGTGTGTTCATTAGAACTCATTTTGAAGATGCAACAGAACCCTTGTCTTATTCAAGCACTGCCTACCATAATAGTTGAGTTTTGACCTCAAATAAAGTCTAAGTAATTTATATCACTGCTCAATAATAATTTTGGACATTCTGGCCCAAGGTTCGAGCAAGTGGTATCGCTAAATTTGAAGGATCCAATGGGCTTGGTCTGACTGCTGCTTTGTCATACCTCGTCTGTTTTTAGGGAGAGAGAGAAAGAATAGGGAATGCAGTAAGGGAGAGGTGAGAAAAGCAGAGAGATCGAGTAGGTAGGCAAGTGCTGCTATGAACAACTGTTCCTTAACCAAACCATATACTGTTAAAATTTCCATCATTTTAAAGTACATTATCATAACATTGAAAAGGAAAAAAAAAAGTTGAGAAAAATGTATCTAATTTTTAAAGTGGAATATGTTGGAATCATTTGGCTTTTTGTAAAATATAAATAATGAAGACACTGACTTTTTTGTGCTTGTGAAGCTAATAGATCATCTCCACGAGACAGGCAGCAATGATGAATTGCAATACGTTATTACTGAAGGGAAAAGGTTCAAGCCAATATTCACACTGCAGTCAATGAAAGAGTAAGGGGGCCAAAGCAGTGAGCTTCTGGAGAAAAGTTAAAGATGCCATGGGGGATTAGCAGGAGCAGCCTCCTTCACTGACTGGTTGCTCCTGAGGCTTTTCCAGTTTTATGTCAATCACTGAAACAAAAGTTAAGGAGCTATAAATGGGAAAGTACAATTCCAATTCTGCCGAACACTGACATCTCTTGCAAGCCCTTTCAATTCCTATTGGTTTCAGAGTGGATACAACCATTATTTCCTATACAGCTAGTTCACTGTACGAGGTGCTCAAATGAAATAAACTCACCTATATCTACTATATGCAACAAGGGTCAGAATAAGGTTAAGCCCTATTCATGGGAATCTCTTCTAAGGAAATTACAGGAGCAAGAAACCAGATGAAAGATGATGCTCCTTACAGAATTATCTATAATAAAAATCTGAAAATAGCCTACAAAAAGAGTTCTAGCAAAGGAAGAGAATTTAATAGATGATGGGACTTCAACTCTGTAGAACATATTATCCTATTAAAAGTAATAAAGGCTTAGAAAACATAAAACATTTAGCAGTGGGAAAAGCTGAACACAAAGTGCTATGAATTCTATGGCTTAATAAAAATGTATACGGAAAAACACTAAAGGTAAATATAAAACAATTAAAATATTAAAATTAAAAATCCTTTAAAATAACTATTATTAGATGTGCTTCATTATGTCCTGTTTCTGAAAGCAGAGGCCACAATAAAACTCCAGACTGAGTTATTTCCTGCCTGTGCCAAGCAGAAAGCTTGAATGTTAGAAAAAGCAAGGGAGGAAAATATGATATATATTGTAGGGAAAAAGCCTAGAGCCAACAGAACTCAAAATTAAAAGGCAGAAGGCTTGGATTCTAAGTTTCCTGTTCATTAAAAATCAAGCAAGTAGGGGTGCCTGGGTGGCTCAGTTGTTTAAGCGACTGCCTTCGGCTCAGGTCATGATGCCAGGGTCCTAGGATCGAGCCCCACCATTGGGCTCCCTGCTCAACAGGGGGCCTGTTTCTCGCTCTCCCTCTGCCGCTCCCGCTGCTTGTGCTCTCCTGCTCTCTCTGCCAAATAAATAAATAAATAAATAAAATAAAATCTTAAAAAAAAAATCAAGCAAGTAAACAAACACAAACCTTCTCATTGATTAATTGTTGTGAGCAACAGGCCGCAAAGGGTACACATGAACTACCAGATCTCTTTGCCATAGAAAACCTTGGAGCTTCTAATGCTCCTAAGCCATTAATTCCTGGCTGTAAAAGGCAATAGCATAATCCTTAGCCAACCAAGTGGAGCTCTAAAGACTAGTTAACAATAAAATTTTCTGATGAAACAAAAAGGATACTGTCTTCTCTGCTTCTGTCCTGTGTGCTTTCCATTCCAGGCAAAGCCGCTGCAACACGTCGAAAGAGCTGTGGAGAAAAGAAATGTGATAATTGGAAGGGAAAATTTAGCAAATGGTATCAAGTGAAAGTGGATGACTACTAGATGGTAAGTTAAAAGATATGGCTTCTGGATTATTTCTCACTTAGACCTTAGCATAATGAAAGCATACTAAAATGTCTATTTATTTTATAAGTACTATATGCTGTATGCCATATACAAAGAGGTATAAAGATATGATCCTTACTTTCTAACTGGTGAGATCAGACATGAACAAACAGCTAAGAAATAAGCAGCAAAAATGTGATCTGAGTCATAAAAACCTACTATAACAATTCAGAGTAAGGACAGAAGATTGCTCATTTAGGAAAACCGTATAAAGTGGCATTCCTATCTTTCATAAACAGTTTCTGAAGTCAGTAATATATAGTAAAAGTCAGTCTAGTCAAAATTACCCTGGGTAATTCCTTAGGAAATCACTGTTAGAGACCAACACACCACCTCTCAAATCCAATGCACATGGCTTTTCCTCCATCAATAGAAAAAGTACCAGTGGAAGTAGTTGGCTTGTGTCTGAGGTATGACTTATGAAAAGTTTCTTTAAACGGAGATTCACACTCAAGGACGAGATGGTCACTTTGAGAGGCATGTGGGAACAGAAACTGACCGAAGGAACAACAGACGCATAGCCCCTATTATGTGTCCAGAACTAGGCATATACTCACTGGGTAGAATGGCAGGTGAAATTGGCTGATTATTTCAATCATTTCTCTTTTTGGCATGCAGTATAAAATTCCTAAAAGTTAAATGCACTTGTGATATAACTCCCTTGTACTAAATACCTGCTTGTTTGAGTCACTGTCTCAGGTTCTCTAGGGACAGAGAAATGAACAAGATGTAGCTTTTTAATTCAAGGGAGCTTGCAGTCTGGTAAGGGAGACAGATGCAAACAATTCATTATGTTACAGTGTGATAACTGCCATAAACCAAGGAAATACAAAATGATATGAGAACACAGATATAAGAAGGCCCTTCTCAGGACACTGGGAAAAATTCTTTAGGTGGTGACATTTCAGCTGGGATTTAAAGGCAGTTTAAAAATTTCACTTGGCTGAAAAACATATTATGCAAAAGTGCTCGGAACTTAAGTGCTTCACAAATGTTGCTGAGGTAAAATGAGAAGGAACAGAAACAATAGAAGATCTATTGATGAAAACTAGAACTCTACATAATCTGTTTAGGGAAAGGAATATAGAAAAGGAGCAAATTTTTATCTGTAGGCAGTAGCCTGGTGGGGTAGGATTAGGGAAGATTTGAGAAAAAGTGTAATTGTTTTGGTTCTATAAGGTTTAGTAGCATTTTAGAGATGTATCAAAGTTAGTCATTAGCTTCAATATTCTTTTCCCTTGTCCTTGAAACTACTGAAATCAGAAATGTGCTGACTATACATTATGGCTAGATGCCTAAGTGTTAAAATTACTAAAGCCAAGATTGAATATCACTATTATAGAATGAATTTCTGGGATGCACAGTGCCCATTTGTATCCCATCTGGGACATAGTGCCACATTTGTCACTACTAGACAATCAAATGCCCAAACCATGTTCAGAGAAAAGCACAAGGTATAGTCAGTTTAGGTAGTCCAGACTGGCTAGAGTACAAAATATGTAAAAGGATTAGAAAGAAGCTCTATATATTAAAGGCCAGATTAAGAAAGACCTGGAAAGGAGACAAACTTTGTCCTATGGGCAAAGGAAGGCATTAAAAACAACAGTTTGCATTAGGACTTTTATCGGTGATTCTAATTGTTTTACTATGGCTACAAAGATCTACAAATCACATATTGAAAGTGCTTTAAATATAGGGCAGAATGGCAAAAACCTAAAAACTAAAAGGTGAAGTGTGAAGTTTATATTCTGGGCAGGCCACTTAGGTGACAGGTCATCTTTCTGTTTCTCAGTTTTCTCATCTGTAAAATGGGCTTACAATAATAGTATACTTAACTGACTAGATTATTGTGAAAATTAAGGGAGATCATGAGGTAAACTGCTTAGAACCAATCTGTTATACAGAAAGTCTGTAATAAACAGTAGCTCTATTTCTACTAAAGACTAGTCATAATAACTCATGGTCCTGTGGGCTAGGGGAAAAGAAAATTTTTCCAAATGTTATGAAATGGAGTGAATTATAGGACTATAACAAGATGCCAATAGGTGTAACATTCTGCTTTAAGAAGCTATTTAAAACTGTTGGGAAAGGTGTGGGGGTTGGGAAAAACCTTCTGAAAATATTAGGGCAGAACTGAAATGTTCTTAAGAATATCTAGAAATCTTCCCAAGATCTCATAGTTTGCTTCTGACATTAAATATTTATTAAACTGTTTAAAAATGCACCATCTTCAGCTCTTAAGGATATCAAAGTTTATTATAGGCTAGCTTAAAAATGGAGGCATTGGGAAGGTTTGTTTACCTTCCATTTTCTGTGAAAATGGAATAAAATGGTTTACAAGTTTTGATGCTTTAAAAAAAGTACATAAAGAGGTCTTTCAGAGATGGTATTGTTATATTTTTACCTACCTATTCTCATAATATAACACAGAATTTAATGTGTTTCTAGAAAGAATATAAAATTCTAATCAAGAAACTGTAGTACTAACTACCCCATTATTATAGCTTTGCTTTGTAACCTCAAGGATATTAATTTCCCTAATCTTTAGATTCTTCTTAATAAAAAGGGGGCTATAGTTGTGAAGTTCAACTTATTTTTACCTTTGAAAGTAATCAGAAAGAAATATTTTAGGGATGTTTCCTTGAATGGTTATGTGTAAAGTCCTTCCCTCTATACCAGTGGTTCTCAATACCTACCATGCATCAGCATTACCCAGGAAACTAAAAGCAAACAATACCAGATACTTGGGTCCCACGTGCAAAGATAGATTTAACGAACTTGGGGTGGGGCGGGGCCCTTAGTTTCATAAAAAGATCTCTGGATGATTCTAATGTGCAGCCATGGTCAAAGACCTATGCTGTAACACTAATTTAAAGTAATCAAAAAGCTAATACTGAGTGCTTACTTTGTCAGAATCTTCACGTTTTCTCATTTTAATCCTCACAGTAACTTGTGAGGAAGATATTAATACCCTCATTTTATAGAAATCTAAGGCTAAAAAGAATATGTACCATATACCAAATAAATAGCAGAACTGAGATTTCAAAGTTCATATTTTTTTCTACTACCTTATACTGCTTAGTATAAATGGAAGTTTTTTCTAGATGGAAAAGCACTGCGGAAAGGCCTGTGTGAAGAAACAGCTAACAATCCTGGGTAAGAGGAATTTGCTTTGTGAAATACTATTACACACACACAAATCACAGACATAAAAACTTAATCCATTTTCTTAGGACTTAAACATTTTATCTATAGCTTTAACCAGTATATTTGAAAAACTTGGTGTTCCCTCAAAATATTTCAATTAGAGTAAAGGAATCAACACCACTAACCAAAACTCAACCCAGGACACCCTAAAATGAGCCAAGTAAAAGTTTTACAAAAAGCAAAGTTCTATCCTTACAGAAATATATGTAAGACAGGAAGGAAAAGACCCTAGGGGATTAAGTTGTTTTAAATAATCATTAGAGGAAAATCCATTTCTTAAATACCAATGATACACTAACAGAGGCTTCTGCTTTATTAGGAACACAGATGACTAAGATGGGGCTTCCCTTGATCATCCTATCTATATGTAATCTTATTCAATTCTTCAATAAATATACCTCCTTGTGACAGCACTGATTTTACATCCCAATTTCTGTGGATCTTACTGTCTCTGTAGTATTGGCTAAGCATTTATCATGTATTACCTACCCTTTACTACATGATTTTCATGAGAATGTGACTCTTCTCAACTATAGCATAAGCTTTTTAGAAATTAACAATCATATTTTACATAACTTTAAATTCTCCAAAGAAACCACAATGGTCTTACAGACTGTAGGTAATTGATACTTGTGAATTAAGGAACATGATAAAAGTATAAGATGAAGAACTGTTATGAGCCAAGAACTATGGCAGACATGGGATATAATGGTGTAGAAAAGTCACTATCCCTACCAATGCTTAAAGTACATATGCTTCTCAGCAGGTATAACATAATTTACACACACGTGCATGTGTGCACAACCCCACTGTATGTATGTAAGCTTTCATTGATCTGTTAGTACTGATGTACATCAGCTATCACTAATTTTCTTTCAAACAAATCTTTGTCTTCTGACAAGGACTGATGATTTTAGAAGTTAAAGATCAAGAAGTGTTTCTCTTCTTTTCCCATTTGCCAGCACTGTAAAATTAGAGAATATAATAAGAAAGGTGACATCCACACACTTAACACTTCACTAAAAGAGTGTATTAATTCTCAGATGAAAAGTCAGATGAAGCCTTAACTAATTACCTTCTCATTACCATTTCCCTCAGCAATTTAAGCACCATACCACTTTCACAAAAGAAAGCAATATTACTGCATTTTAAAAAACAGAAAAATAAGGGTTAAAATATTTACCACAGGCTATCTGTTTTTTGTGTGTGTATGTGTGTGTGTGTTTTAAGATTTATCCATTTTAGAGAGAGAGAGAACAGGGCGAAGGGCAGAGAAAGGAGGAGAGAATCCTCAAGCAGATTCCCTGCTGAGTGCAGAGCCCAATATGGGGACTGATTTCAGGACACTGAGATCATGACCTGGGCTGAAATCAAGGGTTGGATGCTTAACTGACTCATCCACCAAGGTGCCCACATAGGCTACTTTGCTATGAAATATTGAATGGAATGAAAAATATTACTTAAATATCCTATATAATATAAATGATCATGCTAAGTATTATTACTTATTATAGTTCTAGCCCTGATAGCATTTTTATTTAAAAAAAAAACTGTAACAATATTTTTTAAGACATGCACCGGGTTTTAGAGTTAAGTGCTTATACAAGATTAAAGAGCAGAGGGGTTAAGCACAGAACATTTTTAATTTTTTTTT